GTCTAAATCATCTTCCAAGACATTTTGATATATTAAATAATCATTCACTTTTTTGAAGTCCCTCTTTGTCTTCTGACCTGCTCGGATTTGACTTGACTTTACCATTTTTAAACTTAAAATCTTCCGGCCAGACCACCACTCTTGGATGTTCCTTTTGTCTCCTTTTCTTTTGGATTCTTTGTTTCTTGGGTCCCATGATGTTTTCATTCTTGGTGTGTTCCACCAAAATAAGAATAAATCCTCAAATAGCTTCTTGAAGAAAGATGGATGATAGAAACTTTTTTTGTGTGAGATCATGACTATCTAAAAATAAGCAGGTTACCCTCAGGCATGATTAATAGTTTGGTATGGAGTTCTGTATTCTATAATAGTTTTCTATCTGGATTTTGAAGGTATTTTCCCATTATTTTAAGAAGTCTCTTGTTGCTAGTTTTTACTTATTTACATAAAATTTGTTTGTCTCTGGAAGCTGATAGAATTTTGTCTTCATTCCTGATATTTTCTGATATTTCACAGTGATATACTGTACCTTAGTATGAGTCTGTTTTCATCCATTGGTCTTGGCCTTATGGAACTTTTTAAATTTGAGAAGGGGACAGTTTTCTCCGTTTTATTTTTTTGGAATCATTATTTGTATATTTACTCTTAACGTTGGGCTTCCCTGGTGGCTCGGCTGGTAAAGAATCTGCCTTCAATGTGGGAGACCTGGGTTCAATCCCTGGAATGGGAAGATCCCCTGGAGAACTGGAATGGGAAGATCCCCTGGAGAAGAGAAAGGCTATCCACTCCAGTATTCTGGCCTGGAGAATTCCATGAACTGTATAGTCAGTGGGGTCACAAAGAGTTGGACTCGACTCAGCAACTTTCACTTTTCACTCTTATGTTACACTTTATGGACTGGCACTCTCTTTTCTTCCATTTTGATCCTCTATTTTCTAACTCTGATTTTTTTTTTTTCTTTATGTGAATATTTCAGTATTTTAACATCCTCTTCTATTGAGTATTTTTCTCTTTCCATATTTTTTCTATGTTTTATGGCTTTTATTAACACAAATACAATGTGTACAGAAGCTGTCTGTGTGTTTTCTTCTCTGTGTGGCCTGGAATTGGTGACTTGGATGGCCCCGTTGGCTGGTCTTTCCACCATGACACTGGATTTCTTGTAGGGGTTGGGTGCAGTCTCAGCACAGTAAGATTTGTTGCACATCAGCAGTACTTCAAGCTCCTTGACATTGTAGACCAGGAACTTCTGAAGCCGTGATGTAGCATGTGCTTTATTTTCTTGTTGTCCTCATCACGAATATTGGGCATCAAGGTGTGACCCTTGAATATTTTTAATTTTTAGTAACTCTTTTTGTTGTTCAAAAACTTTTAAATAGCATCATGTTCTTGTTTTGTGAGTGCAAGTATCTTATTACTATATGGATATTAATTATAAAAGTTTTTTTTCCCTAGTTTTGTTTCCTTTGAATTCCTTTCTGTTTTCAGTCTTGCCTTTGATATTAGAGACTTTCCTCAGTTGTTTGGCAGCCCTAGTTCATTGTGCATTAAACCTTTAATGGTTAAGTGGATCTGGAGGAATATTCAAAATACCACTCTTTGTAATGGCTCCAAACCAAATATCCATCAACACGGGAATGGGTAAATAAATTGTGGTATAGTCATATAATGAAATAATATTTAGGGATGCCAATGAAGAAGCTATACCTCCATGCAAAGTGAAGTGAAAGAGTTAGTTGCTCAATCGTGTCTGACTCTTTGCGACCCCGTGTACTGTAGCCTCCATCCTTGGAATTCTCCAGGCAAGGTGACTTACAAATAAAGTGTTGAGTGAAAGAAGCTGGATGCAAGAGTTCATATTGTAGGCGTCTGCTTAAGGCTCAAAAACAGATAAAACTAATCTATTTCGTTAGACTTCAGGATAATGGTTTTCTGTGGAATGTGGGATGTGGTTCTCTAGTATGATTGCAATAGGGCACAAGGAGCTTCTGCAATGCTGTTCATGTTCTGCTTCTTCAGTTGGGTCTAGTTATACAGGAGTGTTCAGTTTGCATAATTTCAGCGACTTGTGCATTAGCTTGTGTGCTTTTTGGTATGTTATACAGAGGATGAGATGGCTGGATGGCATCACCGACTCAATGAACATGGACATGAATTTAAATAAACTCCGGGAGTTGGTGATGGGCAGGGAGGCCTGGCGTGCTGCGTTTCATGGGGTCGCAAAGAATCAGACACGACTGAGCGACTGAACTGACCTGAACTGAACTTGCAATAAAGCTTATGTGAAATAAAAAAGAAAAAAGTTGGTTGAATCTCTGTGTGTACAGTCTGTTGACTGGTACCCACAGAAAGTGGTCAGACTAATCATCCAAGGAGCACTTTTGTTGGGGACCCTGAACGTCAGTGTCTGAAGATGGGAAATGGACATATTTGTTTTTTCTAATTTGAAGTTTTTAAGCCTCTTTCTAAACCTCTTTTATTGATAAGAGAAGATACTTTGGCTTACTTTTGAAAGATATCCATGATGAAGTAAAAACATTGTTTCTTCTTTGAAAAGTGACAGTAATAGATTTGGAATTTCTGTTCATTCAGCATATAGATCTAAAGACATGCTGATCCATGTCCTCATGGTGGGCGGAGCATAGCAGAAATTGCAAATATAAGTAGAGTGAGTTAATGAACTCTCCTGGAGGCCTGGAATAGGGGAACTTATCCTAGTCTTCAGGAACAGGGAGGACAGCTAGCCCTCAGAAAATATTTTAGTCTGGTGAAGAACAAAGGAAAGTACTAGTTTTTCGTAATGAAAATGTGTCATCTTCATGTGAAAACCTTTATTCCTGTCTGTCTGACCACTGTGTTATGTTATTTCAGGTGGAGAGTATAGTGAAGATGATATAAATGAATTAGTGAAGGAAGATGAAGTGGATGGTGAAGAGGAGACACAGAAAACCAAAGGGACAAAAAGAAAGGCTGAGAGCGTTCTGGCCAGGTGATGCTGCCCTCAAGGCCCTTAGAAGTCAGAGGCTGTTGACACAGCCATCGAGATTGCTGGCATTGGTCTGATGACAGATTTCTTGCTGCCAGTCTCTAACCCTTTTCTCATTGAGGGAAATATTTGGTGACATTTTAGGATTAAATTCTTATTCTCTGGTAAGCTTTAATAATTTTTGAACTTTAATAAAAAAATTAATAGGTAATATGTGCACCTGATTTAAAATGCAAAACTGGGGTATCCCCTGGTGGCCCAGGGTTTAGGACTCCATGCATCCAGTGCCAGGGCCTGATTCAGTCCCTGGTTGAGGAACTGAGATTCTACAAGCTGTGTGGTTTGCCAAAAAGAGAAAAAAAAAGTTCAATTACTAGAAAAACTATGTATGCCATTCCTATTTCTTGTTGCTTTGTCTTAGAAGAATTACATTGCCAGAAATAATTCTCTGTGCATGCATGTTCAGTCGCTAAGTCGTGTCCAGCTCCTCGCAACTGCATGGACTGTAGTCCACTAGGCTCTTCTGTCTTTGGAGTTTTCCAGGCAAAAATACTGGAGTGGGTTTGCCATTTCCTCCTCCAGGGGAAACTTTATCGACCCAGTGATTGAATTCCAGTCTTCTGTGTCTCTTGCACTGGCAGGCGATTCTTTACCACCAAGCCACCTGGGAAGCCCCTCATTCTGTATATGTATAAGTATGTATTTTGTATTCCTGCTTTTTAAGATTTTTGGCCACACAGCTTGTGGGATCTTAGTTCCCTGACAAGGGACTGGATTCATGCTCCCTGCAGTAGAAGCGAGGAGTCCTAACCAGCGACCAGTAGAGAATACCCTGTACCTCCTACTCTAAAAAATGTATGACTAGTAGCGTAGTCTGCATATCTTTTGTCACTTTCCTTATTTCTCACCTTGGAGATGATGCTACAGCAGTACATTTAGCTGTACCTTTTTCTTTTTGGTAACTGCATTGTGTTGCATTATATGGATAGACTCTACTCTATTTAAACATTCCTTGAGGAATCTTTAGATTGTCCTTATCTTTACTACAGCAAATAAGACTGCAATGAATATTCTTTGTCTTTGTACCCTTGTATATTTATAAATCAGATCGCAGAGAAGTAGAATTGTTTGACCCATGGTTGTAGGTAGTAGAAAAAATATATATATTGGTATAGGCAAATTACCTTCTCTAAGCCTGGTACTAAATTGCACTCCCAACAAAAAAGTATGAAAGTTCTCACAAGTTACTTAACTCAGATAAAGGAGTCTTTGAATAGAAGTCTTTTATTCTCTTTGATTGGTGTTTCTGTCTTCCTGGGCATTGAAGCAAAAAGCAGATTGTAGAAGAATTTTGAGTATTAGATGATTCACTTGAAGTCAGAATAGTCTTAGGAAGCAATTTGCTCTTTTAAGTCTTGGCTCAATTCTTTTGTCCTTGAGTTCTGTATTCCAGCTTTCATATCTTCAGAAAGTTGGAAGAAGCATAGATTCTCCACTCCCCACTCTCAGAACTCTAGGAAGAAACATTGTGAATAAATCTGAGGGTCTCTTCACTTTCTCTTCTCCAAATGGAGTGACTTTTAAAAGTATCTGGCATATGTATGTTCTTAGAGCCCTCTTTTTGTTTTGTTTTGTTTTTTTTTGGTTTAGCTGAAATTTCATTTGTTTAGTTTTCTAGGTATTTATCTTTTTTTTTTTTTTTGTTTTTGAAACAGTTTTTATTTTTTTTTTTTCCCCCATTTATTTTTATTAGTTGGAGGCTAATTACTTTACATCATTGCAGTGGTTTTTGTCATACATTGAAATGAATTAGCCATGGATTTACATGTATTCCCCATCCCGGTCCCCCCTCCCACCTCCCTCTCCACCCNATAGATGGGGAAACAGTGGCAGACTCTGTTTGAGGGCTCCAAAATCACTGCAGATGGTGACTGCAGCCAAGAAATTAAAAGATGTTTGCTCCTTGGAAGAAAAGCTATGACCAACCTAGACAGCATATTAAAAAGCAGGCGGGGTTCCTCCCCAGCCACCGCCTCCTGTCTCTCACCACTACGCTCTATCCCTAGAGCTTTGCCTTTGGGCACAGCTGCTTCACGCCTGTAGACCCTGCACGGTAGCGACATGGAGGAATTCGACTCTGAAGACTTCTCCACCCCCGAGGAGGACGAGGACTACGTGCCCTCGGGTGGAGAGTATAGTGAAGATGATATAAATGAATTAGTGAAGGAAGATGAAGTGGATGGTGAAGAGGAGACACAGAAAACCAAAGGGACAAAAAGAAAGGCTGAGAGCGTTCTGGCCAGGAAGAGAAAACAAGGTGGCCTCTCACTAGAAGAAGAGGATGAAGAGGATGCCAACAAGGAATCTGGAGGAAGTAGTAGTGAGGAGGAAGATGCAGTAACAGGGCAGGAAAAAGGCATTGAGTCAGAGGATGCCAGGAAAAAGAAGGAGGATGAACTATGGGCCAGCTTCCTGAATGATGTAGGCCCGAAATCAAAAGTGCCCCCAAGTACACATGTTAAAACAGGAGAGGAGACTGAAGAGACAAGTTCAAGTCATTTGGTCAAAGCAGAAAAGCTAGAGAAACCTCAAGAAACAGAAAAAGTTAAAATTACAAAGGTGTTTGATTTTGCTGGTGAAGAAGTCAGGTAAGAGGACATTCACAAACTTCAAACTTCATTCTTTTTTTTTTCCAAAGGTAGTTCTTTTTAAAAGGAACATTTTTCTTTTGATAAATATTTTAGTTTTTTGCTGCGCTGGGTCTTCGTTGCTACACGTGAGTTTTTCTCTTGTGTGGTGCTTGGGCTTCTCATTGTGGCATCTCTGGTTGCGGAGCGCGGGCTCTAGAGCTCAGGCTCATTAATTGTGATGCACAGGCTTCACTGTCCCTAGGCATATGGAATCTTTCTAGATCAGTGATCAGACCGGTGTCCCTTGCATTGCACAGTGATTGTTAACCTCTGGACTACCAGGGAGGCAAGCCCCTAAAAAGGAATATCTTTCTAAATGATGTTAGACATCTATCCTCTTTCCAACCTGTCTTAATAGTTTGGATGAGTTATGTTTGAACTCAAGGAAAACAGTGGCTCCATTAATCATCAGGGAACATGAGAATGTCCTTTCCCATGTGGTAATGTAGTTTTGGGGTAGTATGAAACGGTTGGCTGAACAGAAACAACAAAATCTAAGTGTTAACTCTCTGTTTCCACTTACTCGTTGCCATGCTTTGTGTCTGGCTCTTTCTACCTTAATTACTTTCCCTAACTTTGAAGTATAAGTCCCAATAAAACGTTTGAAATCAGGTGACAGTTGAAAGTACTAAGAGAGAAGTTTGATTCTATTTCCTCATCTCAATATTACTTTTTTCAGTTGATTCATAGATTTGTTACTAGTTTAGAAAACCAGTACAGGCTTAATACTCTGGTTGTTTTGGATGAGAGCCACATGCCTAGAATTTCCTCTTTCCCATTTTAAAAAAATTATAATATGAAAACAGTGGATTTGTAATTTAGAGCTAGAGGAAACAAATGAAGTGCCTGCCAATCAGTAATGTTATTTTCCTTAAAGTTGATGTTCTTAAAAGCAGTTAATATCTAATTTCCATCAGTTGTTTCATCTAGTGAAAATATATCTTGGAGAAAGTTTTGGCATTGTTTTATAAATGATGTGAAGGAAAACTATTATTTTTTTGTTGGTGGTGGTCTTGGCTCTTTTTTTATTGGAATACAGTTGATTCACAATGTTGTGTTACTTTCTGCTACGAAGTAAGTTACACACATATATATTTCCTGGAGAAGGGCAAGGTAGCCCTATCCATTATTTTGGCCTGGAGCATCCCATGGACCAGACGATCCTGGCAGGCTGCAGTCCATGGGGTCACAGAGTCAGATGTGACTGAAGCGACTGAGTACTCAGCACACATGGGTAGATATTTCCACTCTTTTTGTGTTATTTTTTTTCTTCTCCCTTTTTCTTCTCAAAAATTTTACACTTACAGAAGTGTTCTAAGAATAGTATTAGAATGAACACCCATATGCCTGTCATACTGATTCACCACCTGTAAATGTTTTGCCTCTTTCTCCACCATCTGTATCTGTATTTCTCTCTTTTTGTTTTGGCTGAACCTTTTAAGAATTGTAGGTCTCATGACACTTCACTCTTAAATACTTCATTCCTGTTTCCTAAGAACAAAGATATTTTCCATGGTGACTCAATATAACTCTCACATCCAGTAGATTTCACATTAATACAGATTATTCTCTCAGCTCGCTCTAGTGAAGGATCCTGATTTTAAATGTTCAGCCTGCTGCAGACCAATACTTTCGTAAAACGCAACAAAAGGAATTATTAGAAAAGTATGTTAAAAAGATAGAAAATGCAAGCTCACACTTTTAACAGTAAGATTTAACATGCAGATATAAAGCTACATTTCAATATATACAATCAAAATGAACATAAATAAGAAAAGGAAAAGAGTTATACAACTATACTCTTTTTTTTTTTTCCTTGGCTGTACCCCGAAAAAACTTGTGAGATCTCAGTTCCCGGACAAGGGGTTGAAACCCCGACCTCGGTGCCGAAAGCGCTGAGTCCTAACTGCTGGACCACCAGAGAATTCCCAGTAACTCTACATGTTGGTCATTGAAAGTGTGAGTGTAAGTGATTGATCAAAGGAATCCACTTTAATTCTATAATTGAAACAAGAAACTAAGAGTAGAGTATCCGTTCTTAATACTTAACATCTAGACACATACTTTGAAACAGTACTGTTTATATTAATTTTTACAGTTTGTAATGTGTCAATATGGCTTCTTTCTTTCTCGTTAATTATCTAGTCTAAGTGGGATTGGTGACAGCCCTACTCCTAGAGGATAATGTATTTGTAAATTACTGTTTCTGTGTTGGTGTTCTTCCTTGTCTTCTTTTTAATTTTTTAAAAAATAATATTCATCATAAAGAAATCCATCTCAAAAGGCTGTATTGTATCTCTTTTAAATTTATTTTTCTAATAATTTCTTTTGATTGTCTTTTACAATAATACTGTTCTGCAACACGTTGAAAATTTTATGTCAGGGTCCTTCACTGCAGATAATTTAAATAATAATCTGCAATAATGTAAAACTAATGGAGGTGAAAAAAAAATTAATGGAGATGGACGTGTGAATTTTAAGGCAGTCTCATTAAGTTCAGGATTTTCATTTTTACTTTTTCCAAACAAAGTCATTAATAACTGCTTTTTTTCTTGCAGTTTTATTGAGGAAATAATTTATATACAGCACTATATAAGTTTAAGGCATAGAGAGTAATGATTTGATTTAGGTTCATCATGAAATGATTAGTAATAACTGTGTTTTCCAATTTCATCTTCCATGCTTCATCAGTAGTCAGTTCCAGTCGTTTATCCTGTCAAGTTATAAGTAAGTTATATTTCAATGGGAAAAAGGAATTCTGGATGCATGAATTCTCTATGTGTGGATTTTTTTTTTTATGGAAAGTACAATTCAAAATATTCTGTCAAACATGTTAATTTGTGGGGACTGTTCTTCAGGCTTTTATTTTTCACTTTTGCTCTTATTATTTATTTGCTTCTGAAAAATATGTTCAGTCTCATCTTTGTATGAAAGTACTAAGGTTGTTGAAAACACCAAACTGGGAATTCCCTGACGGTCAAGTGGTTAGGACTCTGTTTTCACTGCTGAGGGTCCAGGTTCAATTTCTGGTCAAGAAACTTAAGTTCCTTCAAGGTTCCTGCCACAGCCCCCCAACCCTCAAAAAAACAAAACAAAGCCTAAAAAATCCACTGACCAAAGCAGACAGATAAGCATGTTTTACTATCTAATTGAAATCTTCAGAACTGGGGACCATATGGTTAATGTTTCTCTTTTGGAAGCACTACATTTTTCTGTGGTTCATCATTCTTAACAGCACTTTCTTCATAACCACTGTACCTCAGCATACATGATAATATATCCACATTTATGATCAGCTTTCAGTTTATCAAATATAGTCTTTTAAATTTAATGTATTAGCTTTATATGATTCACAGGTTTTCCTACTGTGCTCAGAATAGTGGGGTTTTTTGTTTTTGTTTTGTAGTAAGATTTTTCTCAGCAAAGGAAGCAGCGTGTTGATTTATGTTCTAGCACAGACTCCTTAATCTAAAGTGTTTCCGTGTCCTGCAGCTGTGTCATTGGAGCTTAACTCTCCCAAACACTTACACTTGGAATCTTGTCCGTTGTCATGTGATCCTACTTTTATTATACAGATCGCTGTCAATTAATGTTCGTTAACAAGAAACTGGTTTTTGAGAAAAAGACCTTTTAATATCACCCTCATGTTTAAATCACAAATATTAAAATAATTTTCATATCAGCAGTAATTTGTCATTCTTCAAATTGCATTGAAGAAACACTTTGCTAACTTTGTCGTAGTTTATCATAAGCCAGATCCCGAATACTTCAAGCCATGGTGTCATTGGAAAGTTAAACTTGAACTACCTTCCTTGTCACAGATTCACCAAGATTTCCAAGCAAGCATCATTGATATGGTCTTTTACTAATGTCCTGGGGATGGTTTATTCTATTTAGTTCAGCAACTGAAAGTGCTTCTTTCTCAAAAGGCCACAATGCCAATGAATGGAATTTTGCATCTGTTTCTATTGACTTTTGAATTCAGTAGTGTTTCTTTCAAATAATTCTTTTGATTTTGTGCTTATTTCTTCATGTTTTATATGTAAATTCTGCAGAAGTTTTTGTGAATTTGTTGCTTTACTAATTAAAACATCTCTGCAAAGAACTCACTGTGGTTTTAGACCTGTGTGATCGAAAACCAAGCCCAGTGTGTGAGGGCTCATAGAGTAAAATCAGCTTCACCTCAGTTGCCCTTCATTTCTTTGAAGTCACTTCTGTTATCATCATGTGGTTTATTACTTGCTGCATTCAGGAAAGATATTTTTTTAAAAAAGGGTGTTTTTTTGCAGAGACATACAGTGTGGGTTATTTTTTTGCCATCAGCAATTTAGGATTAAAAAATAATAAAAATTTTACTTTCTTAGTTATTAACATATAAATTTTAAAGTCATATGATTTAAAAAATTATAATAATTTGTAAAGAGAAATGGTTGCATTTTATCACATTTTGGGGTTTTGATTGAGAAAATAACCCTAAACTTTCTCACTGTAGTATGGTCTAACTGCACATGACTAATACAGTAATATCACATATGAGTACTTTGCAATAATTGGTATATGTTCTATTTAATGCTGTGAGTTCATCATTCATATCTTGAATAATGTGACATTATCAAATTTCTAGGCAAGTTTTTAAATACTCAAAATTTTTGTACCTATCTTTTGTTAGACCAGTAGCAGGTAGTTTGCAGCTCACATTTTTGGTAGCTCTATGTACAATTCTAGTCAGATCTTTCCATAGTTATTTCAAAATGTTCTTAATATCTGTATTTCTTGTCCAGTCCAAAATCCAGTCCAGGATTACCCCCTGCATGTGGTGTTAAGAGCCCATCTGTGTGGCAGAATGTCTCTCAGTTTCGGTTGTTGCATTGTTTCCTCATGGTTAGCTTCATGTTAATCACTTTAGACAAAAATACTGCACTGATGATGATTTGTCCTCCTCAGCGCATCATATCATT